CCATGATGCATTACGCAGAGAGCAGAGTACATCACATCAACAGCTTCTGCCGCAACCCCCTTCCGCCCTGCTGAATAGACGCGACCGCCGTCTCAAGACATCCTATACCGAACAAAAACAACCTTCGGTATCCAAAGCAGTCGCCCCGAGGGTTGCGGACAAACTTCGTACTTCGGTCTCTTCAATCGACTCCTCCCTCTCCGCGACCGACAATCCACCATCCAACTCCGACAAGAAAACGCGACGCTGCCCGCAAATGCCGCGTTCGCAAGCAGCGCGGCATCGAAGATCTGCAGACACAGGAGGCCGCCATCGATGCCGTGAACCAGTGCCTTAAGGATCAGTACACTGAGCTGCGCGGCGAAGTTCTTCTGCTCAAGAATATGATTCTTCATGACATGCTCGTTGATGGATTCCAGAAGCTGTACCATTTCCCCGGCTTGTAATCACTTGAGACCTTCCCCGCCAGACGACTGGCGATATCAGCCCGGCCACGCTTTGGCTCTCGGGGAATTGGCATGCTCTAACACTTGATGGAACTCTTGAAGGCAAGTGTATAAATCTCGATGCTTTGCCCTGAAGATCTAATCATCTTTTCAGAAGCCTTTGAACGGACATCGAGGGATAGCGCTGAGGAGCTCAAGGATACGTTGGAGAAGCTCAAGCGGCAGTAGATATATCTCATAAGAAATGAGCCAGGAATACGTGTTGTAGTTGCCAGGCCTGATACATCGACTCATCTCCTTTGCAGCTGTTCATCACTCCCGCACACGAACCTAATGAAGTGTTCTAGTTCTTACAAGTTGCCTATGCCGCCGCTCCACGTCGCCTGCCCAGGATGTTACATACCGCTCCTTTGCTGCTTGTGGCGAGCCGCCTCAGTTGCTGGGCAACAAACATCATCAAAGTTGCTCGGCCGCTATGACATATTGCTGAATTTCGCTACTTATTTTGCTGACAGGCTTCGCGATGCTTCTGTAATGCTCCGCTTGGTTGTCGGCAGTCCATTAATCCGCCGCGACAGCTACGTGCGCATCTTTCAGACCGTTATTGACCTCATCTCTGCCGAACGGGTTTTTCTGCAGATGGAATCCGTTGATTTTCAGGAACATGTCTGCCGCCAGAAGCGCGGCCCTTTTGTTGCCATCCTGATAAGCATGATTCAGGATAATTCTTGCTGCAAGGATTCCCGCTAGCTGAAAAATATCGTCCTGGCCGTGGTAGTACTTGTTGTTCTGTGACGAGGAAAGTGCGGACTCCAGTAGCGGTAGTTGCGTCGGGCTGGCACGAGTGACATGGGTTTCATAAAGCTTCATGATTTGAGAAGCGCTGGGGAAGCGAAGAACTCTGCTGGAGGATGAAATGATGGCAATTAAGACAAGGGCTGAGGGGGAGCTGAGATTTTCTATCTCTGAAAAATTGAGATAATAGCCACATTTGAGAAAGAGGGTTGGGAATCTCAAGCAAGTTTATATGCTTCAACAATGGTCAGAGGGAAGGTTGGGCGTCAATCGGCGACGGTAGTTGCTCTATCATGACCGTAGACAGGGAGATGCCCCGAAATGGTACAGATATCCGACACGTAACTAATAGCCCCGCAGCCTACATCATATAAGCGCCGAGATGGTATCATCGCCGTCTCTCTGCCCCAATCCCTTCTGTTTTGGTAGAACCGCATGTGTTGCCGCCAGGAGGCGGCGGCTTCGCGCCCAATTGCGAAACAAGCACACCTACATTGAGCTATTCGCTTCACGTTCTAACCACTACCTGAGCGCTTAATCATGGGGGAGTTCACTTTAAGTGGCCGGCCCTCTCTTTCTTGGCTGGCTAGAGCTTTGTAGCTCCTCGTTCACAAACTCTGCTGGAGCAAGGATTTGGGGAGCTTTAGTCTATTTGACATGCGGTTATGCCAAACAATTCCATTACATCACCTGCGCACCTGCTTCAAAACGCTCCCTGCCATGATTAACAGCTTCATGCCCGTGTTTGCCTGGGCTTGCCACCATGGCATTTAGCGTTATCAAATCACCATTTACGACGACGCAGCTATTTTAGGTCTGCATTGGTTCAGCTCGGGGCTTGGGGTTGGCGGCCATGCTTGCTATATGCCAGGGGGGTTCGTTTGAGGTAGCGGGGGGAAGGACGACAGCGCGGAAGCCTCGCGCAACGACTAAGTGAAGAGGATATCGACCTATCCGAGTGCCAGTATGCTTGGGATCCAGAATTGGACCTTATTGAGGAGCCCCTACAGAGGTTCCAGAACTAGCGTGGCCAAGAAACTATGTCTCGTCGTCTTTGAGCACGGCCCATGAGGATCTGGAGGTGCGATGTTGACCAGGTACATCAAAGTGGAACCCAATACTTACAGACGTCAGATCCGGACCTTCACGAAAGTAGCCATCCACTTCGCCTGGGACTCGACCTTGACTGAGCCTGACTGAAAGCAAGGGTATTAGGATAACAGAGAATGGCAATATCCAGCAACTCCACCGGCTATAAGCACGATTCTGGCTATATAAGAAAGCTGCGCTCCTCCACGGGTCGCCATGGCGCCGGCGTCGCTATGGGCTTCACGACAGTCAGCAGTCTATCTGATTGACCTTTCGGGGCGTGTTCTGGAGCTTTTTGTGGCTTGGGATTCCTGAAGGTTTCGTTCTCGCTGGTGCTGATGTTTTTTTTTTTGGTTAGCTTAAGCTCTGGTTGGGGTGGGATGGTTGACGTCACAATTGAATACTGTTGAGTGTGTTTCACTGCTTACGTGAACCCAGTCCGTAGCTTTGGTTGTGCCTGAGAGTTCTGGATTCTAGATTCGGTGGTGTAAGTAGCTTGATTAGTTCGTGTGTGTAAGTTCTGTCTATCTAAGTGCTTCCAGCGCTCAGTGTATATGGGATTTACTGCTCGTCCGATCACGTGGCCATAAATCCACATGATCCCCCAATCCAATACTTGGTTCACCAATTACTAAAGTCACGTGAAGGTCTTCTTGCAGTCAGTTCATTAACACGAACCCCGCTTCTTCCTTGTAGATTTTCATGAACAAACAGCGCCTGCTCATTCATGCAATTCCTATGGTACTGAGCTATGAATCAAGTTTGTCAAAACCCATATTCTGTACTCGACCTTCATGAAACCTTATAAAAGCATTTTGCCTGCTCCCGCCCATTGGAAAGCGGCCGATTCGCTATTCCAGCAGTCACGTACGCCCTTCGACAATTCCAGCCCGATAGTGGG